GCCCGAAGGTGAGCAAATTCCCTTCCTTCAGAAACAAAAGAAAAGGTTTATCTTAATTGACCAAGGGGAGGATGGGTCACACCACATTCCTCTTTAGAGTTACATAGCAGTTTGCTGTCGACGCTTTCATGTCGTTAGCCTCCATTATTCCTGTATAGTTGGAAGCCACAATGACAGAGACACAGCATCAATTGACTAAGCGCAAAAGTCACGGGGTTACTGATTGTGGTCTTCGGTTGGAAGTTAGGAGGAGCATTCTGTTCATGTGTCTACACTGGCGTCTCTCTGGACAGCAAATACATTTCCTCCGCGTCTTACTTCTTCACCCCCAAAGTGTGAAATCGATTAATATAGAAGCAACATTGAGAAAAATATGTGGACGTGAGATTATTCAATTAATAAGCCAACTTTATTAATAAAGTCGGAAGCCAATCACTGATCAAATTGGGACTTGGTAGTGGTATCCTTTCACCTTTGAGTGTTAGAGAAAGCACTTCCATTCAGTGTTTGTGAGAGTTATTGTATTCGCTAAGTGATGAGAATGTACATTTTGATGATCTAAGTCTTGGCGCTATGTGCTCCAATTCACTTCACATTTCCTCTGGTTGAAATGCTTAAAAAATGTTTGCTTGTAGTAGATGACTGAACGAGAGTCACTCTAGATTTTGTCATTGCACCTTTTTACTATCACCCTTAGCTGGAAACCACAACTACATAGTTACCGCATCATTCGACAAAACCGTCAAATTATGGGGTCACCCATTGTGGTCGCCAATTCGCACCCTGGAGGGCCATTCTGGTCGATGTGTCTATGCTGACATCTCTCTCGATAGTAAGTACATTGCGTCTGCGTCTCACGACATGACCTTCAATACATGGAACCGACCAATGGAGAAGCATAATTGAGAAAAGAGCGGAACCTGTGTCCATTTTGTGCGTATCAATAAATATGTCCTCTTTTCACACTTGAAATGGGTTTTGATCATTTCAATTCTCCCCCTGTTGTCATATGGGGAGGCGTTTCATGTAGTAGTGAGATTTGAGAAATTTATTGACTTGGGGAAACAGAATACCAGAAGCTCTTGTCTCAATAGCTCTGAATGTACTTCACATAAGTTCGCCCATCGACCTATGTGCCAATCTTTGAAGCGAGGAATATTCCCAAATGTTATGCTCTTTTTTCGAATATGGTCCACTTAGAGCTCCTGATGCACTGGCTCAGAAGTTAAGGTCTGGCCTGTCATATGCTTGGGGTAATGGTAGATTATGGCTAGTTGGTCATAGCAATGCGTCTCGCCGAAGACATTCGGATGGGGCCACTTTAGGCACCTCGCGCGTTTCTGGTCTCGAATTCCCTTTATCAAAGCTCTGCTGACACCTCGAAATCGGAGTAGATCAAAGCCAAAAAAGGGAGCATGATATTTTCTATTTTATAACTGTCAACGCATTGATTTTCTCTAGTTTTACTTATTATTTCATGTTTTTTAATTAATGATGGCTCAATTTTTTTGTAAACATAAGTAATAGGTTTTCTGGAAAATTTATTGGCATTTTCTTGAATCAATCGCTAATCGCTAACGAAGATTGATGTCTGCTGTTTAAAACAAACGTATGGTCGGTATTAAGAGAAGCGCTCACTCTACTATCTCTTTTATTGAATCTGCTTCATCTCGTCTTTGAGAGCGCATTGGCAAGCATGATCTCGTGACACCTGACTTTGTAAATGCGGGCTTTGGTAATTTCGCAGCCAAATCTCAATAGAGTTATATGTTTATTAAATACTTCATCAACGAATAAAACAAAATCATTGTAGTCGTCCAGCTTTCTCGTCAAAAAGTAAGCCTCGTTTTTGGACTTTAAGAGTATTGTATTATTATTTTTATGCCTAACTACGTTGATCGGGAGCATAAAAATTTTTGTCTTGAAATTTATCCTCGGAATCTATTAACGACAATCGATTGAACTCTTTAAATTGGTCTCTTTATTATATTGTATTAGAAAAGATGTTATTTTTAATTGAGAAAAATTATTTATTAATAATTGGATGAGGTAAAACTTGCCTATGCAACTGGGGAAATCAATAATGCTCAAGATTATTCAACAACTTTCTTTTATTATTGACAGGTGATGTTATCGATTTAATACCTGAGTGATGCGTGATAATCAGGTGATCGATAATTCGCTTAGAATGCCTTTTTAGGTTTATTCAACTGACCTATTTTTTTCTGCCACCGGATGGGAAAAATGAGTTTAACGAGTTCGAAGAAAGTAATCGCTGTTGTCTATTTCCACCAGCAATTCTAGCAGCTACTTTGCTTTATCTTTTACTTAGTCCAACTAAACTATGGTTAGCACTGATGACACGATTTGGTCAAGGTGTGAGTAACTGTTATTGTATTGCATACATGGAGAAGGAAGTGGCATATGGGACACCTCGGTCTTTAAATCAAGATTCCTAATTTAGTCCTCTTCGGTTGGCGATCCTCCATCTTTTAAGTCCCATGATAATTACTGCGAGCGTATGGCCAAAGCTTAGCTTTCAAGTCAAGTCGATAAAAGTTGTGAAATATGATGGTTTTCAAATGCGAAGACTTACATTCTTTTTGCACCGTCTTATTTTCTGGATCTTGGGGTGTGTGATAAACTTACATCTACGTGGTGCACCCTTGAAAACGTATACTCATACTACAAAAAGTCTATAAACTGGCAGTTGACTTCTGACCTCAAACTACCATGGCCCCGCTTTTCTCTGCCTTTGTGTCTGTCTGTCTCTTTTACATCTGTCTTTGGATCACACTTCTGTTTCTACTCTCGTCTTTTTCTCACTTCGATGTTCCTCTCTTTTGTGAACCCGAAGTCAACTAAAGGGCTAATGATTACTATCGAAACGCCTACCATTTGATATAAATTTTCCGGATCTGTGTAAGATTGTAGAATAAAGCCTTGGTGACAGTCTAAGATATTAAATGCTGATGGCGCTCAAAACTGTGGAACTACAAAACTGATTTTTCGAGCAAGCACTAGAAATGGGATAATGATAGGGTCATGAAAGAGATAAATTAGGATAGATTGAAAAAAAAACATTAAGAATGGAGTCAAGTTATTAAAAAGGGGTCACATTGAGGTTGATATTTTTTGGATTTCGATTGTTCAATTTTAGCTTACTGGCGAATTTTCCTCTTCGCAAGGTTCATTATTCGTCCTTCCTAGCACTAAGCAAGTTCTGCAAAAATTGTCATACTTATTGGGAGGTGGATTGATAACGAAAGTGGAACCTTCATTTCAATTCATTTATTACTTCCAATAATCGAGAAATTAGAAAAAAGTATATTTAATTGTAAGCGAAATGTACAACTGTAACGGCTGAAATTAGAGTTGCCTCAATATGAGCCTTTGTAAATAGTAAACCATAGCAGTTCAGCAGTGATATGAATATCTCCATTTAAAGTTTGAAATTTCTCAAAAATAGCACGAAAAGAAAATCTATGCTTGAGCGCTGCATACGCTGCTTTGTGTTTCTAATAAATGCTAAACATGCTTAAAGATGATCCATAATAGCATTTTAGGACCTACGGAGTGACCTTCAGAACAGTAATATCATGCCAGCCAATCAGCAAACTTGTTCTTTGAGTACAAATAATGTTTATGGAAGTACATGCTCAAATTTGTGCAATGACGACCAAGAACTCTAACACCAAACTTTTATGAAGTGTTAAGTCACTTAATATGTCAACTAGATAGTTACAAAACAAATTTCGACTAAAATCTCGTTAACCAATCACTTGCAAGACTATTTTATCTTATTAAGGCATCCTTTAGTTAGAAGAATTGGCCAAAGATATAGCTAACACGAGGACTAAGCAGTTTACTCAACATACTAGCATTTCTTTCCAATGAATTAGACAGGTGAATCAGGTTCCTTCGTTGGCGAGCTCAATGTTAAATGTACACGCTCACTTGTGATAAACTAAATAACTAAAACCCCCTGAAGATGCCATTTTAGCTGTAACTTAAACAGCCAGGCGCTTGGGACAGGCTCTAATTACAGCGGAAAGCATATGATAAACTCGCAAATTTTGCCTATTTTAACTTCATCTAAATTCAAATAGAGAATTCTGGCAACTGTTGTTTCTGAAGCTCAGTTGGAGAATGGATTCTCTTGGTTCCTTGAAACTTCTTACGCCTTTTAAAGTGCTGTTCCATGAGCACAACTTATAGAGTCCTTTTGGATTAACTCAGGACGTGAAACCAAACAGCAGATTTCCCGTTCTCAGGCTATTCTAAAACGTCCACAATCACTAAAAGAAGTAAAAGCAGGACAAATGGAGATTTTCGTTGAACCACTCCTCTATTCCAGCCCTTCCAAAAGGATATTAGGGGAATTGAACAAAAACAAACCTAAAACTAGTATTAACACTTTAA